CAGGCGGCAAGATGTTCCATAGGGCGGGAGCCACAGCAGAAAAGGCTCTCTGCCTAGACCCCACCAATCGAAATTCCTTGACGGAATTCCTTCTGCTGGACCGAGTGGGGCGGGCTGAGATGACCTTTTGGGAAGGTCAGGAGAGTAGGGGCCCACCCCACCTCTGGGGGGAGAATATTTCAATAGCAGAGAAGGCTCTCCTCCTGGGCCCCGCCAGTTGACATTTTTCGTTAATGGGATCCATAACATACCTTCTCTGCCTGACCAGGTGGGATGGGTCAATGTAATGGGGATGAGACGGTCCCTCGGGTAACCTGGTCCCATGCCCTGTAGGGCTTTAAAGGTAAAAGTTCAGATTCATTTGGTAGCTGGACAGTCTCTCTACTTGTTTCATCTCTTAGAAAGAAGACAAAAGCATCAAAATATTCCAAATTTACAAGGAGTGGCAAATTCTAGAATTTAGCCGCATCGGACCCAGGAGAATAGCAAGGGCCATTTCCTCTTCATAATATTCAATTATAAAATGATAACAGTATGATTAGACTTGAAGTTCTGCAACAAGATAACCGCAATAGAAAAAAGCTACTTTATAATCTTCGCTACTTGCATTGCAAACATTTTGTTCAGTCATTTAGGCGATGAGGATTCACGAGGCAGGATCACGCACTCATAGCTTCCTTGGTCTTTTTCAGAAGGCTGTTAAGGGGAATTCCAGGCACACATTCAAAAGGGGAAGCTCCCCTCTTCCTCCTTTACCAGACACAGATGTCTACTACATCTACTAGTGGTAAAAATAGGGAAATGGCTTGCCATTGTATTCTGCCAGAATTTTTTTTTTTTTTTAACTCCCTGGTCTAATTTATTGCCCTGCAAAGCCTCAAATTCAGCAGTGAGATCCCTGCTGTTCCTCCCTTTGTAATACAAATGTCATGCTTCCAAAGGCAAGAGGAGAAAAGACGGATTTAGAGGAGAGAAAGGATAATTCCATGAGATGCAAAATAGCAGGGAAATACTGGAAGCACACAAGAGCCTGAGTACATCTGTTGTAACCCTGCAGCAACTGTGCTAAAGATATCTCCAGAACCACCTGGTTGTTTTGCTAAGTGCAAAAACCACAAAGATCCGCTTCCTCCACAATGACAAAGAAAGCTGTCATGTTCAAGATATACATCCCTCTTCCCAACACGGCTAGGCTATTTGAGGTGTGTTTATCCTGTTGAGAAGCATTCTGCGGCACGTGTAGTACATCAAAGCTAAGTGCTACCTCGTGGGCCAACTGCAAAGGAATGTCAGTCTTTCACAGGTCTGTCTTTCTGATCTTCACACATACACACCCCGAGAAATGCCATCTGTGTTCCCCAAGTTCTCCAGAAGACTCTGCAGGGACAAGGCTGGGTGGAAATCCCTATGGATCAACCATTACAAATTCCATCTTCCAACAACAAAGGACGGTTGTTCCGTTTTACTCGATGGGCTCACACAAAGCACATGGTTTTGCTTTCTATAGCTCAATGCACGGGCTTTCCTCCTCCTTGCTCTAAGGCCCACCCCACCCAATTGCTGCTGTTTCAGACATGCCCAGAGGCCTTGGGAGAGTTCAACAGGCCTGCTTTAATTCCACATCTAAGTTCTGGAAATGCAACCTACAAAGGGTATGTTAATGTTGGGTTACCGTTCTTCAGGTGGTGCTTCCTTATCAAAAGACAGAAGAAGGCAGATCTACCTTTCCCAAGCAGAGAAGCAGAAGAAGAGACATAAGCCATCAGAAAGAAGTCCCACCTAAGGCTCTGCAACAGGCTGTTAGTAGTAAGTCCTGTGTGGCTCAGGACCTAATGGGGAGACAGCTGCCTGCTGCTCCTAAAGGGTGTTGATAGAGTTTTCACGCTAAGGGTACCCACTTTCCACAAGACACAGCTAGAGCAGGCTCGGAAGGTGCTGGAGCTTTCCCCCATGAAACCCCCTCGCCCCCCAAAAGATCAGCATCCTTGTTATCAATATTCAGAAATTGGTGAATGCCTGGTTATTTAAGCAGAAATTTGGGGGTGGAGGGTTTCGTGAGCATCTGACGGGTATCCACAGGGTGTGCATGTGTCATCAAAAAGGGCAGGATGTGCAATGGTCTGGGAGAATGTCTTTGAGAGACTGGAGGAGGAGGAGGAGGAGGAGCAACAGACTAGGCAACGGTCAGATAAGAGGCAGCTGAGCCCGTAGAAGGAATGGGGATGTGGCAAATGTCTCAGAAGGGACCCTCCCCAGCTTCTTGAACTGTAAAGGCGAGGGGGGAGAGATGTACTTTCAGACTTGCAAGATTCTGTTACTGTAATCTCACAATACAGGTAGTGTTAGTACTCACGGCTGGAGCTTCCTGTCTGGACTACCTCTCAGGGCTGTCAAGATGGCAGCTGTGATCATGCAAGCAGAGCCTCACCCGTTTCTCATGAGTCCGTGGCTGCCCTCTTGACTTTCTGACCCTCCCCATGGACACCGAGTACCCGCGATGTACGTGGGCACTGTGGGTGATCGCTTGTTATTATCACTATTACAAAACTGAATTGTTTTGATATACATCTGTGTGAGTGCATACTTTTGCTACAACTGTTTATGGTTTATAGCTTTTGAAAGCCAGCTATGTTTGTTTGATTGAACCTGCGTAAAAGTCCTGCTCCTAAACAAACAAATGAACGCAATGATACTTTTTGCTTTCTGGCTGACCCTGTTCCAATCAACGAGGTGGGTGCCTAGGGGACTCAGGAATAAGCCTGCAATGGTGCAAAGGACAGAGAGATGAATTTTAAGAAGGGAATGAGAGTAAGCACAGTTAATCTTTGCCCAGCTGCTTGCTCTAAACCACAATGTGGCTTTGCATACACCCTGCCTTATGGTTTTTAAGCCAAGATTTTTGGATTAGCACTGTTTGCAAAGAAGGCTACTAAAGCTTGTTTAACAAATCATAGTTAAAGTAAATTCAGGGGGAAGCTATTCCCCCCTCCCCTTCATTTTCCCTGACTTTAAGGGAAATAGTGATTGCTGTACGCTACATTATCATCTTCAAAAGGATGTTACTACAGTACTGTCAATATTTTACATTCAACTATTAGTAATGATTATCGATGGAGAAGAGTAATGACTTAAGAGAGTGCATCTCCAGATTATGAGAGATGAAGCAGTGACTATACAAAAATAGAGTATTATAAATGGGTGTTTTCTAAATGCCTCTTGCCAATCCTGAGGACTAGAAGGATATTTCTCTCAGAGAAAAGCAGACATTCCCATTATTTTTGTAAGCCAACACATCTAGCAAGAATATAAACTAAGGGCCTACTACTATTGCTCATAGTGATTGTCAACAATTCAAGAAAACAAAAATTTGCCACCCGGAAAAGTTAAATTTGCTATAAAATGTGCAAATGGGGATGTTTCATCCTTTGATTTGACTGCACAAGGAAGAATCAAAGGCCTACATATAAACAGAGTTCAAACTGCCACAAATCTAGGATCTGAAGATCCAACATACCATTATAACATCATAAATCCTCAAGGTTCCAAGCTTAATAAAAAGCTACAGTCTATTCATTAAAGACTTCTAGCCCTTAAGGACTAGCAACTTGCTTTTGACCTTTATTATGATTTTTTGGAATAACAGAAACTGCAATTTTCAGCAAATTGAACCTATTGCATCTCTAATGGCTTTTCACACTTCTGCAAGGGAATCCCTGAAGCTAACCCCATCTGGTTACCTTTCTGCCTTCTCTGATGGAGAGCACGCCCAGCAAAACACCGTAGAAAAATAGATCTATGCTCAGCTTGAATTACCAGAAAGTAGCGCTAAAATTTGATGAACACCCAGCTTCATCCCCATTCAAAACCACGCACAGAGGGTTTAAAAAGAGCCAAGGGTCAAAAAGTACTTGGAAGAGAAACAGGACGCACTGGTTTCTTTAGCAAAGGAGGGGAAAGTAAAACTCAGCCGTTGTTTACCTTGGGATCCGGCCTCCAGTTCCAGATCCAGTTCTTCCAACTCCTTTCCCAGTGAGTGGATTGGGGTCTCGGCCTCAGGAGTCCCAAAATTGCCTTCCGAATCCGAACTGCCAAGGAAGGAGAGAGGGGAGAAAAAAAATACATTACTACTTGCAGACCTACCCTGAGCTCCTTTCCAACCAATCTTTCAAGGCTTCTTATTAAGAACTGTTTTGCAAGATGGGTTCAAAAAAACCAAAAAAATCCACACGCACTTGCCTTGCATATAAAAAAGATGCAGAGTTTGATTGTGGACGCCACGTTATGCCTCCCCCATGCCCCTCCCTTTCACATGCTATCTACCACCTTAGCTTACCTCTCCCCTTTTTTCCCCTAGGCACACTTTCAAACAGAGCACAGAGCCGGAGCAACCCCACTTAAAAATGCCTCTGAGATCAAACGTGGGGTCGCTGGCGCTGTAGGAAATTCAGATAAAACTGAAGGCGGGTGCTTTGCTTCAAAGCACCCGTGCATCTTTCTGTTGTTTTTAATTGTAAAAATTCTAAAAAACAGAACAAAAACAAAAAAACCCAGGGTGGAAACAAGAGAAATATCAGGCTCCTGGGTTCTCACAGGCTCTGTGTTGGAGACCGAGGAACTCAGTCTTCGAAGGGTCTGAGCAGACAGGCGTTTGGTGGCTTTTTGTATGGTGCCTATTTTAACAGCAGAGCGGTAGCGTTCATGTGTGTGCATTTCCTTCCCTGTGGCTGCCCTAAAGAAGCTGGTTTGGCTCTTTCAGAAAGCAAACTTTCTCAGAACCACAGCAGCAAGAAGCGATTAAATTCCCTTCTCCCATGCACGCTTCACGCAAGTGTTAACCATCTTCCCTGGGGATGCTCCTTCCAGTCCTGAACTTCATTTAGAACTGGTCACCAGGGGCACATTGCTTCCAATCAATTTCCAGGGGCAATTCAAAAGGCCACAATGAGCCCATGACAGCCCAATCTGGCTTGGCACCGAGCTATCTCCAGCCCCACATTCTCCAACTTGAATGAACGCAACCAACTTAATTGTCCCAGGAGAAACTCTTGGCAGTACCCCACTTCCACGGAGTAGGGAGGCCAAAGCAAGGAGGTGCTTCTTTTCTGTGACCAAATCTGCTCTTTGAAATCACCCCTCAGCTGAGATCAAAACGCCCCCCCTCCCAAGGTACTTATTTGGGAAGATGCTGAAGATGGAGTTCTTCCCCGTAGTGGGGTGAGCGCCTCCCAGCTGGGTTTCCTTTTGGTGCTGGTTTGGGGTTTTGATTTTGGTTTGGGAGACAGCCATTGACCTGTGAGTATTTTACTTATATCCACTGTGGACATTCTGTGTAAATATTTGCTAGCTATCAGGAGTCCTAGAACGTTCCACTGGGTTGCAAGTTAAATAAATACAGAAACCCCACGTCTGATTTGACCTGAATTCAGTTTTCCAGCTCTAACTCTGGATCTCTCAGGAAGTTCGCCAGCAGGGCAGGAACACAGTTGGCCATCCCCGCTTTTCCACACTCCACACCATTCATGAACATGCTCTTCCAATGCACATGGCCTGAGCCACTCCCTTCTTCCTTTCCCACCCGCATCACACTTGGGGCATGCACCATAAGCACCTCCCCTTCTCTTTAGGGTGAATTGATTCCCAGGGTGCTCTTCAGCTGTTGCCAGTGCCAAGGGGCTAGGGAAGAGACTCTGCTAGAAAGCAAAGCAGCCAATTGTCATCACTTGCCCACGAGTGACAGGCCTCTCTTCTTCAGATCACTCTACATGGGTAACGTGTCAAATAAACCATGGATCTTTTAAGGGACAGGCTGGCAACTGTGCTCTGAAAAGTGGACCAAGCCCAGGCAAAACCTCAATGTGACTTCATTTTAACTGCATTCCAGGCAAATCAATTTAGAGTCGTTCAACGAGATGAGTGGTGACAAATTTGATAAATAAATAAAATAAATAATTTAAAACAGATACAGGTAGTCCTCATTTAACAACCACAACAGGGACCAGAAAATTTGTTGTTAAGCAGGGCAGTTGTTAAGCAACTCATGCTCAATTTTACAACCTTTTTTGCAATGGTTATTAAGCGAATCACATGGTTGTTAAGTGAATCACGCAGTTCACCATTAATTTTACTTGCTGGAAGCTGGCAGGGAAGGCTGCAAATGGTGCTCACGTGACCCCAGGACGCTGCAACCATCATAAGTGTGAGCTGGTTGCCAAGCACCTGGATCACAATCACATGACTGCGGAGGTGCTGCGACGGTTGTAAGTGCAAGGACTGGTTATAAGTCCCTTTGTTCAGCACTGTTGTAACTTCAAACATCACTAAACAAATGGTTGTTAAGTGAGGACTACCTGTAATATAGTTTTTAAATGGATGGAAGTAATTGCCCCCTTGCTGTTGCATCCAAAATATATCAGCAACCTTGGAAGATATCCTGGTGGCCATGTATACTAGGTCATTTAAAACTCCGCTGATGCTCGTATGGCCATCAGTGGACAACCCCACCCAAGTAATACTGTGAGGACGATGATTTATCTCCCACCATTCCCTTTATGGACAGACAAGCAAAGAAACAAACTGGAGACCTCTCTTTCTCCTGTGAGCCTACATTTCAAACAGCTCTGGATGGGGCCTCCTCATTTAATGGCAGGGAGCATTTTTGAGCTAAGGGCCAGAGTTGGCTTTGCATGGTCCACGTGGGGAGGGGGACATGCTCCAAAAGTAAAAGAAGGACCCAGGCCAAAAGTTTCCACTTAACTAAAATTAAATACTATCAGTCTGATGACTTTCTAGTCATAGACTTCACCATTTTTTGGAATCACTGTATCTTTGGGCCATCGCGTCTCACCCCCTGCTCCATGCAAGAATCCCAGCGTCCTAAATGAATGGATCCTCCTTTTCTCCCGTTAAACATGGGAACTTGATGGGGAGGGCTTTGAGGACTGCAACCAAAGGCTTCAGACAGCTGCACTCCTCTAAAGACTTTCCCCAAGGCATAACTCTAGATGCTAATTCCATCTTGCTCTAGTAGACAACAATGAATGATCAGGCAATCAACTCTGTGCCAAAAAAATGATGAAATCAAAAAGGCAAAGTTTGGCCCAGAGTTGGCAGATCCAATGAGTAGAGGGCATGGGAGAAAAAAGTCACCTCCCCAGAATTTACTTCTGGACACAATTAAAGCTGTTTCAGAGGTTACGTGGCGGTGTGTGCGTCTGTCCCATCATCTAGATCTGCCAAGGCAGCTGTTCTGAGCAGGGCTGGAAAGGTTGAGAGAAAACACCCACCCTCCGAAGGAGACAAGGAATAAGCCCCACTCCAGCCTCTGGGTCAGCTGCTGACCCCTAAGATAAAGCAGACCAGGAAAATGTCATGGCCGTGGGATACAACTCACAGCATATCTGGGGATGAACAGAACACGTTTTACATTCTGATGGGGTTCAATTGCAGGAGAGCGTTCATAGACACATTCATGGGCCAAAGGACTCACCATGGCTTATCCCCAGATGTGGCAAGAGTAAAGGCAGTCCCTGGGCAAACGGCTAACCCATAAATCATGATTAACGGCGAAACTAAAGCAAATTCTGCTTCAGCATGCTGTGTGGACTAGGCCACCCTGTTATGCCATAACGTGACTCGCTTCTTTGGGCTTAGCCATCGTGATGGCTTTTTAACTATGGCTTACAGCTTAGCCTTTGTGCACAGACCGTTGCTAGGGTAGAAAAAGCCAGGCATAGGCCAGCCAAGGGTCCCCCTCTCTCCCTCTGGAGTGCCCCCACCGAGACAGCGGTGAGACACCCTGGCACGCGTGTCATTTGCCCGCGGAGTCAGTGCCTCGCTCAGCGGCCGATGCCCCGGCTCGGTTCACACGGTTTCTCTTTCGAAAGCCGATCCCACCGAGAACGGCTGTCTGGGACGGAGGCCACCCCAGGCTCCAGGTGCGCCCAGAGGTGCAAACCCGCCTCTGCTCCCGCAG